TTACTATATTGATTTTGTATATGCAAATGTGCTTTTAAAGGCTTGACAAACTTTCCTCAATTGATTTACTAGGTCTCCTTTAGTTTGATTACTTAGTCTTGTACTGTTGTTGAAGTTGATCTCAAAGCACTTCAAATGTAAACTTCAGTTTATTTCAGGTCAAACATTCTGAGTTTAGAAAATCCAGTATACATAAAGTTTTACAGCATGACTATTTCTTGGGTTTTCAATATAATAGTATTTTATATAGCTATTTTAAATGTAAACATTTTTGACTTGACACCATTAACCTACTCATAATTAAAAAATTAATAATAAAATTAGACTTCAAACTACATAGGAGAAAGGGCTAATAAGATTTCTTTACATTGTGTGTTTATGTATATGTATATACATACATAGATGTACACATATATGCCTATGAAATATGTATATATAAATTGAAATATCCCTGAGATAAGGGCCTGCAGGATCTAACCTAGTGCCTCACATATTGGATGTCCATACATTTTTTAAAGTCACTTAACAAAATTAGTTGAGCACCTACTCTGTGCACAGAAGTGAGATATAAGATACAAATATGCATAAAAATAATAGAATGTTTATTAAATCCACATGAATAATGATCATCCATAGTCTTGCCAAATTTTATGTAAAATACATCCTTTCCATGTTGAACTTAACCTACAATTCTGTAAGTTATAGTTTGGTCCCAGATGGAAAACAATTAAATTTATCCTGAATACATTTGGTTTAGCAATTTTTTATGTTCTTTGAGAAATTATGTTTCTAAATGAGGGAAACTGCCTGCTGAACAAACCAAGACTCAATAAAATTTTAAGAGCAATCTAAAAGATAAACAATAAGAAGCCCTTTTAGCTTAAACCTCAAATAAAATCCATGTTGAATAATATATTTCATTGAGCCTCTATAGTAAAGAGCATAAAACTTGACATGTTAGAAGTGAATGTCAGAGGAGTTTGCTTTAGGATAATAAATCACGATCTCATACACATTCATGGCCCCACCAGGACTGGCTGTCTAGTTTGCACGTTCTTCAGCACTATGCTCCACCAGATCAGGTTAGAATGGGCCAGACATACTGCTGCTGTTTGCTGTCAACTATGCAGAATGAAGCACATGCCTTAGGAGAGCCAAAACCAGATGTTCTTATTCAGATCTTAATGTCAAAATGTTAGTACATTTATCTAAGAACCAAAGTCCAAAATTTCAAAATCAGGTTATTCTCACAACAGAATATAGAATACAGTGTCTTTATTTTTTTCTTAAAAAAAGAAAAAAGCCTCCAGATCTAGCAAAACACTCAATAGAAAACTAAAATACTGTATTGTTCATTTATTATTATTTGCACCAATGAAGGTAAGCTGTGACTTGGAGCATTTGAGTGGACACATGACTCCAAATCAATATTTTCTTTTTTGTCTACACATATCTTCATAATTAGTTTTGATAAAGTGAATACTAAAATTAGTTTGCATTCTCCAGTAGTGAGAGGAAGTAGCACCCTATCCCTAAATGTTGCAAAGATGACATGTACATAATTCATGTATAACAATACTTGAGATCCTTGAATAAAGGGATTGAGTCATTGAATTCTTTGCTCCATACATTCGTACATCATGTAGTACAATACCTTGCATAGAACAGGTTTTCAAAACAACTGTTATATGAATAATCTATTTATAAAAGTCAAATTTGGTGCTTATATATTAAAAGAAATAGTATTTTTAGGTTTTTTGTAGTTCTATTATATGAAACATACACCATAATTCTGGATATTACTTTTTGAACTAACATCGTAAGTAAGTTTTGTGCATTAATTTGGTTACACTAGCTATCCTAACAAACGTATCCCTAAATTTCAATGTAGCAACTCAATAAAAGTTAATTTCTTCTTCATGTAAAGTCTAACGCAGTTTCCTAGTAGGTGAGCACCATTCTTCTATGCAGTATTTCAGGCACTCAGCTTTTCCATTTGGGTTCTAGAAGCCTCTGCATTCAGCTATAGGAGAGGAAGCCATAAGATGGAGAAGGCATATCTGCTGCTTAACTACTTTGGCCTGAAACTGATGAAACACTTCAGCCCACAGCTCATAGCCCAGACCTAGTCGACAGGCCTACTTAAATGTAAGCAGGTGCAGACTAGGAAATGGAATCACTACCTGGACAGATGCTTCCCAGAGAGAAGCAAACTAAGGAAGGGGAAAGGCAATTTTTAGTAATTTGCTACTAAAATGGCAAGTTGGATTTTTTGCCAAGGTTTTCTCTCTTTTCCTTTCTTTTTTTCATAAGCAGAGGACATTGTCAAAGTCAGCATCCAGGAATTTCAGGAACTCCGTGAAGATGGAAATTCCGTGTGTGAGGTAATCTTATTAAGTGGTAATATAATCAAGGACTGCTCAGGCAGTCTAACAGGATGAAAAAAAAATGGCAGTAGCAGATAGTAGGACATCTGAAAAAAAAATACCTGAATAAAAAAGATGATTTGGCTATTTCAGTAGGCCAGGTATGTGGACATAACTAGTCCCTAGATAATATGTTGATGTCTAGTTTTCTTAGAGTTAGGCTCCAATTTTGTCTAAGATGTGTTTTTGTTGCAACTGTACACAATCATACACATGCAATTAAAGGTACCTATGAAAATAAGATGTGTTGTAAAGTGATTATGACTCATAACTTCTTTTCCCCACACATACCTCAGCTGGGAGGTGTCCTAGACTTGTAGCAGACTGAAGGGTGTGCCTCAAAGGTGTGCCTTTATCTCCTATCTGTATCATAAAACTTTTCTAGGGTGCTGACATTTTAAGCCTCTCATCTTGGTTCAAAGGCGTTTTCCTAAACCTGAAAAGTGAGTCCAAATAACGGTGGGAATGGCACAGCACTTCTTTTTGCAACAGGCGGGAAAGAACACCATGGCCCTAGAAGTGAGCATCCCTGGACATGGTTTCTTGGGTTTTCCTCAATTAAGTCCTCTTCTCACCCACAGGCCTGGGCATCTCTGGCTTGCTCTGAGCCAGCTGGCCAGGGACCAACCTCCCAAATCTGCCTTAGCAACTAGCTCTGCTCATGCTCAGGAGGCTGTTTTCAACAACCCCTTTCTGAGGCGTTACAGTAGCCTCTCAGAGCTCTTATTTTTATGTCATTTTTACTTGACTGTAGGTTTTATTGAGGGCAAGGACCATTTTCAAATGCCTCTTCCCTCATACAAATTACCTACCACTGTGTCTGGCATATGAAAGGAGCATAATACATATTTATTGAATGTACTGTCTGCCTATTCACCATACAGTACCCTGGAGTTGTGAATTGAGCAGCAGAATCTTAGAGCTGGCCTCCCTGAGCAGGTGGATACACCCTGCATGGTCTCTTTTGCTTGGGGAACTCCACAGAAACCCTCCTGCCTTCTAGTGTGAGCATCTGTTCTTTCTTTGTAGGCCACATCGCTCAAGTCATACTCCAGTGCCATGAGTCAATTCCTAAAGCTTATTTTCCAGTTTGAACTTTAATCCCTGTGCCCCAAAACACTTTTTCTTGCTCCATCTCCTAGCTTCCTAAATCTTTTATTAGGCCTTTTACTGGGCTCATGGTCCAATTCGTGAAATAGGAAAAACATAATATTGAAGGGTCTTGGAAATAAAACAGGAAAGATGGAGGGTGAGAAATTTGCTCAGCTCTCTTCATTATTTCCAAAGAAGCTCCAATCTCTTTGCCAGTCCTTGGTGCTGAGGTTAGTTGGAGAGAGGGGCTGTGCGGAAGTGACCTTCTGGTAGAGGGAGACCCTCTTCTCATTCGGTGTCAGTGCAGGGCAGGCAGGTCAGAAAGGTGCATTGGGCCATTGTTACTCTGGCCTCTCGCACGTTGCATTCTCTCCTTTCCTTTCAACGGGAGGTACCAGAGTTGTATTTCAAGGCCCTGCAGGCATCGGGGCACCAAGGGAGTGTCGAGTGATTGGGAGGAGGGGGAAAGGAAAGGTCGCCAGTCCTGTTCAGTGGCTGCGGGTGCGTGGGTGAACAAGGAAAAGTCGATGTTCTCTTTGGTGTTTCTCCCACCCCTTCATTTCTCCCTGGAAAAACAGCAGGGAGGTCTCTGGTGCCTCAGAGTTGCCTGGGGTCCCTTAGACTCCGTCCCCATCCTCCTAGAGCATCCCGCTCCCGCATCCCATGGCGCCCTGAACACTACTCCAGGTCCCCCGCCCACGACGCTCGGGTGCAGCCCCTTCCTCGGGAGGTGTGGATGCATGGGTGGGAAACATCAATAACCACTACACCGCCCACAAAAATGCCCAAATATGAAAACAACCGTACATCCATCACAGGCGGAGCCCGTCTCCCCAAGGTACGGTGTTTATCCGTCGCCCTTTTGGCGATCCTCCCCGGACAGCTGCGACAGCGAGAGCAGCTGTGCCGGTCCCGAAGCTCCCCGCGCTGCTCCTTCCTCCGCCCTCTCGGTCGCCTCCCACCCCCACTCCCTCCCCTCCCCTGCCGCCTCCCTTTTCGTCCTCTCTGGGCCACGCACACACCCGGAGACACCCTCCGCACTTGGCCACTCACACTGCGGCTTAACCCGGCCGACAGGGCATGGTTGCCAAAGCCGCGCGGGTGTGCGTTACGGGGTCCAGTAGAGGAAGCCAAACGGGGCCGGGGTGGCGTGGTGGAGCCCCTCTCCTCCCAGCCACGTCCCGTGCCCATTATCCTTCCCTAATCCCGACCGGCCGGCAACAGTGACACCTGAGCGGGAACTGGGCGGTGCAGTCGGCAGGCCCGCCGGACTCGCGGCTCCGGGAAAACAGAGCTGGGGGCGGGCCCGCGAGGTGGAGCGGGAGGCGGGACCCGCGGGGAGGCCGCTACCAGCAGTGAGTGGCGTGCGCAGCGACCAATGAACTCCCGCAGCCCCGACGACGGCGTGGGGAGCTGAGGGAGTGCTCCGAGGGAAGGCGGAGGCTGCCCCGGCGCTAGAGGCGGGGGCGGGGGGGAGGAAGGGGAGGTGGCGGCGGCGGGCGCGGCGGCGGCGGCGGAGGGTAGGTTGCGCCCGGGACTGTCTGGGAAGCTCCGCGGCTGTGCGTGTGCGAGGGAAGGAGCGCCGCGGGAAGGCAGAAGCGGGCGCGAGCGAGCGAGGCGGCAGGACGTCTCCGGCGGCCCGGACCAGCGGCGGCGCCGGGTGGGGGAAGCAGCGGCTGCGGCGGCCGCTCTCCGCCGCCGGGGACGCCCAGGCGCGGCCGGGAGCGCTGACATCGGCGGCCCTGCCTCTCCCCTCTCGCCCCCGGCCCTCCCCATGTGATCGGTCGTAGTCCCGGCCGTGTGTGCGCGCGTGGGGCTGCATTCCGCGGTGCCGAGCGCCGTGCCAGGGTGGGCGCTCGTGTGTGCTCCTCTCCTCCCATCCCCCACTGCCCCAAGATAAAAGAAGAACCGAGAGGCGTGCTTAGAAAATAAATAAATAACCATCACACACGCGCAGCCCGGAGCGGCGGCGGCGGAGGAGGAGTGAAGGCGGCGGCGGCGGCGGAGGAGGGACGCGCGGGGAAGGCAGTAACTTTAAAGCCAGCGCAGAGCCCAGACCTCAGCCGAGCGGTGTGCAGCGCGGCGGCGGCGGCGGCGGCGAGCGTCTGGCCCGCAGGTCCGGTCGGTGTGCAGCAGGACGGACGAGCGGCGCGTCGCTGTCCCCCGGCGACTGGAGATGTCCGAGCCCAAAGCAATAGACCCCAAGTTGTCGACGACCGACAGGGTGGTGAAAGGTAAGCGGCGCGCCGCGGTCGCCGGGCAGCGCGTGCCGCAGGCACCCGGGCGGCCGCCTCCCCTCCCCCGCCCCGGGTTCTCGCCGGCCCCAGCCACGGACCTTCTAGGATATTGTGTAATCCTCGGGCCCCCTCCTTCTAGCTGCCTGCCCCCACGCCTCCCACCCAGCCGCACCTGGGGCATTTGTATTTGCGGGGCGTCAGTCTGCGAGCGGCGGGGTTGGCGGGGCGGGAGGGGCGCCCGGGGCGCCCGGGGGGTGGCTGCTGGCAGGGTGTAGCTGCTGTGACAGAAATAGGAAGTGGGTGGCTGCTCGCAGGCTTGCATGGGATCGGGTTTATGGTTTTCTTTTGCAGAGGGAGGGGTGATTTATGGCTTTTAAAAAATTTATATGGCATTTTTATGTGGTCGTGGCTTTTCACCGACGGCCAGGCTCTGGCAGGGCTCTCGGCGCCCCATTGCAGCAGTACCTCCGCGCCGCCTCCCCCTTCCCCAAAGAGCCTGCACAGGACTCGCGAGAGCGCGGGAGAGCGTGGGGGCGCCCGGCGCTTCCTTCCGCGGGCAGGGGTGGCCGCGGGCGGAGCGTGGGGCCGGCCGCGCGGGGCGGCGGGAGGCAGGGAAGGACCCGAGAGCCCCGCCGACGCCGCCCCGGGATTCCCCCGGAGGCCCTTAGGGAGGCGCGTCGGGCAGTTCAGCCTCCCTCTCCGCCCCGCATCTTCCCTCGGCGACCTGTCAGTGCTCCTGAACGGTTCCAGCTGGAGCTCACCCCTCCCTTGCCCCTGTGGTAACCTC